CACAGATGCTGCCAGACCTGCTGAGCTTTTCCAGCAACTTTGTTTTTGTCCCTGATTTACAGCATCCGCAGTTCTTTTGGTTTTTATTTAGTGAGGCAACAAGTGCTGAGAACACTCCCAGGTGCAGGAATTTCATACAGAACAAACTCAAGCACAAAAAGGAGTTATTTTTGCTTTGAGGACCACCTGGTGATCAGCTCCTGGTTGCAGATGGACATGAATTAACATCAATGACACCACTAAGAACATGAAAGACAGGAAGAGGAACAGAAGAGATCGACTTGATATTACAACCAGCCATTCTCTCAATAAACCTTCTGAACTGTGCAGGCAGCAGCACTGTATTATTTTCAAATTGGACCAATTGGGAAAAGACCAAGTTCTAACCTGCTTCAGCAGGAGCCTGGTAGCTTTACAGGTTCAGACGCTGCTCTGAAACAGAGGCACTTGGAGTAATGCCATGATGGTGCATTCCATTGGGTTCGGCCCAAGGATTAGTGACAAATTTCCAGAGTTCCAACTCCAGTCTGTGCGCTCTCCTTGTGTGTGGCATTACTGGGAATGCAGCATTGCTGAATTACCCCTTTAATGCACACGTCATGTCATCAAATAGAATACACTTGCTAACTCCAGTAGCCCACTGCTGAAAAACGGTCCTAGTTCAGCTCTTGTGGCGGCAGGTTTTGGGAGTGCCATCCCAGACAAATAGACAGCAAATGAACAGGAGAGCAGCTGTCTGCCGACAAACCACTATGGGCAGTAGCATCAACGCAATCTCAGCACTTAATTTCAATCCCAGTGATGCACAGTAATCTCAGCAGTCGATAGTGAAATTGCTGATCTTCCATTTGAAATGTAGTGTCTCTCCAGCTCAATTATTGTAACTTATCTACCAGTGAATGGGTTTTTCACATCTCTAGCTGATGCAACCGGGCTATAGTTTATGCAAGCTTTTTGATCATTTGCTAGAACTTGCGAACATTGAGTGCTTTCTCTTAAAAGTAGATAATTCCATTATTATGAGTTTTCTCCTGATTGCAACAACTTCAACTGGAGTACAATGTTTCTCCTGTATGGCTGGTTTCACCTCCAAGTCGAGATAATGGGCTTTTTGAGCTGGGAAACAGTGCTGAAACCAGTCCTCCTCTCACTACATCATCTACTCTACAGCTGTCAGTTACAAAGCCCGAAATGCAGCTAATAGACATGAGATGAATACCACCCGACCACTGTGAGAACAGAACTAAAAAACTAAGAGACATGAAAGAAAGTACAGTGAATGATCCCAATACTACTCACTTAGGGAAATTATCAGACCCTCAAGTTCTCCTGAACCAGTCACACCTCGGGAATGCTAGACCTACCTGCAGCATTCAAACAGGTAAGTCTTCATTCATCTGTCAGTCCCTTACAGGCGATCAATACAACTGTGGGAAGTATCAACTCTGTTTTCAATGAACATCAGCAAGCGCCACTCCCAAATGTTGGGGGAGGGGAAAGGGAGGTCATTCAATAGTGGTCAGCAGCTTATGTAGATTTAAATCCCTCTCCCCACCAGGTCAGGTGTATTGTCAAATAGTTTGTCCAATCAGTAAATACTTGGAATGTGAATGAGGATTTTTATGATGCAACGGTCAGAACCTCACTATGCTTCACCAGAAACTGATTAAAAACAACAACATACAACATCTACTAATCAGTTAAGTGTGGACGTAGATGACAGAACAGAACCAGGACTTGCGAAGATCAGGTAATTTTTGAAGCTTCTAGTATTTTACCATACAGGTATTTGGGGAGGGACAGAGTAACTGACATTTTTTCGAAAAGATGTCAATTACTGCCTCTGTTGTTCCACTTGCCATCCACAACAGGGAATACTATGGGATTCTAAACAGGAGCAGTCAGTACTGCAGCGGTATCCTTGCTTGGTGTGGCCGGTGCCCAAGCTGATACCATGTCCCCGCCCACTACCCTCCAGCAATTTCACCTTTAAACTCAGTGCCATCAAAGCCTCGGATGGCTTCCATGGCATCTTCCTCCCGCTCCATGTGCACAAAGGCATAGTCCTTGACAATGTCACACTCGATGACAGGCCCATACTCTTCGAACCTAGCCCGCAGCTCTTGGTTCGTGCACTCGGCTCCAATGTTACTGACGTGCAGCTTGGTTGAGGTCTTCACCTTGCTCTTGCTGGCTTCGACGTTGATGGGAAGCCCGTGCAGTTTGTGGTGATGAAGGTTCTTGATCGCCTCATCTGCTGCCTCTTTATCCTCCATGTGCACAAAGCCATAATTCTATCAAGCAAAAAAAAGTGGTGACATTTTAATTTTTCCCTGCCACCCAGTCCTGTGTTACCCTGTATGAGAACAGCAGCATGATTAGCTCATCACTTCCCATGATCTTTTGAACCAGGGCATCTAACAAGAGTCCTCCTTCACTTTGCTTTTTTGGTATATCTCTAAAAACTGAGAGCTCTAATTCCACTCTTCCAACAAATTAAGACATAACTCCTTGTTTAAGAAGATATTTCAAAATGCTCAGAAGAGGTACGCTCCAATTAGAAAGAAAGACCTCTGCCCAAAGGAAAGGACTTACCATCCATGGCTAACTAAAGTTGAAGGTAGTACCAAATTGAAAGGGAATGCATATCAATTTACATAGGTGAGTGGCAAATCAGAAGACCGAGCAGAATATCAAGAACAATAAAGACAGACTAAGATATTAATTAGGTGGAAGAAATTAAGAGTGAGAGAGAAATGTAGCAAAAACAGGAAGAATTTCAACAGGCACTTGAAAACAGTAACTAAAGCGAACACAAATCCTCTAGAAAGTGAGTCTAAGAAATTAATTTTTTTTATTCATTTTGTGGGATGTGGGCGACGCTGGATGGCCAGCATTCCTTGCCCATCCCTAGTTGCTCGAGGTGGTGGTGGTGAGCTGCCTTCTTGAACCGCCGCATTCCTCCTGCTGTGGGTTGACCCATAATGCTATTAGGGAGGGAATTCCAGGATTTTGACCCAGTGACAGTGAAGGAACGGCGATATATTTCTAAGTCAGGACGGTGAGTGACTTGGAGGGGAACTTGGAGGTGGTGGTGTTCCCATATATCGGCTGCCCTTGTCCTTCTAGATGGAAGTGGTCGTGGGTTTGGATGGTGCTGTCTGAGGATCTTTGGTGAATTTCTACAGTGCATTTTGTAGACAGTACACACTGCTGTTACTGAGCGTCAGTGGTGGAGGGAGTGAATGTTTGTGGATGTAGTGCTAATCAAGCGGGCTGCTTTGTCCTGGATGGCGTTGAGCTTCTTGAGTGTTGTTAGGGCTGCACTCATTCAGGCAAGTGGGGAGTATTCCATCACACTCCTGACTTGTGCCTTGTAGATGGCGGTCAGGCTTTGAGGAGTCAGGAGGTGAGTTACTCGCCGCAGTATTCCTAGCTTCTGGTCTGCTCCTGTAACAACTGAACATAGAACATTACAGCGCAGTACAGGCCCTTCGGCCCTCGATGTTGCGCCGACCTGTGAAACCAATCTGAAGCCCATCTAACCTAAACTATTCCATTATCATCCATATGTTTATCCAAAGACCATTTAAATGCCCTTAAAGTGGGCGAGTCTACTATTTTTGCAGGCAGGGCATTCCACGCCCTTACTACTCTCTGAGTAAAGAACCTACCTCTGACATCTGTCCTATATCTATCACCCCTCAATTTAAAGCTATGTCCCCTCGTGCTAGCCATCACCATCCGAGGAAAAAGGCTCCCACTGTCCACCCTATCTAATCCTCTGATCATCTCGTATGTCTCTATCAAGTCACCTCTTAACCTTCTTCTCTCTAACGAAAACAGCCTCAAAACCCTCAGCCTTTCCTCATAAGACCTTCCCTCCATACCAGGCAACATCCTGGTAAATCTCCTCTGCACCCTTTCCAATGCTTCCACATCGTTCCTATAATGCGGTGACCAGAACTGTACGCAATACTCCAAGTGCGGCCGCACCAGAGTTTTGTACAGCTGCAACATGACCTCATGGCTCCGAAACTCAATCCCTCTACCAATAAAACCTAACATACTGTACGCCTTCTTAACAACGCTATCAACCTGGGTGGCAACTTTCAGTGATCTATGCACATGGACACCGAGATCTTTCTGCTCATCCACACTACCAAGAATCTTACCATTAGCCCAGTACTCTGTATTCCTGTTACTCCTTCCAAAGTGAATCATCTCACATTTTTCCGCATTAAACTCCATTTGCCACCTCTCAGCCCAGCTCTGCAGCTTATCTATGTCCCTCTGCAACCTACAACATCCTTCTGCACTATCCACAACTCCACCAACTTTGGTGTCATCCGCAAATTTACTAACCCATCCTTCTACGCCCTCATCCAGGTCATTTATAAAAATGACAAACAGCAGTGGCCCCAAAACAGATCCTTGAGGTACACCGCTAGTAACTGAACTCCAGGATGAACATTTCCCATCAACCACCACCCTCTGTCTTCTTACAGCTAGCCAATTTCTGATCCAAACCGCTAAATCACCCTCAATCCCATGCCTCCGTATTTTCTGCAATAGCCTACCGTGGGGAACCTTATCAAACGCTTTACTGAAATCCAAATACACCACATCAACCGCTATACCCTCATCCACCTGTTTGGTCACCTTCTCGAAGAACTCAATAAGGTTTGTGAGGCACGACCTACCCTTCACAAAACCGTGTTGACTATCCCTAATCAAATTATTCCTTTCTAGATGATTATAAATCCTATCTCTTATAATCCTTTCCAACACTTTACCCACAACCGAAGTAAGGCTCACTGGTCTATAATTACCAGGGTTGTTTCTACTCCCCTTCTTGAACAAGGGGACAACATTTGCTAGTCTCCAGTCTTCTGGCACTATTCCTGAAGACAATGACGACATAAAGATCAAAGCCAAAGGCTCTGCAATCTCCTCTCTAGCTTCCCAGAGAATCCTAGGATAAATCCCATCCGGCCCAGGGGACTTATCTATTTTCACACCTTCCAGAATTGCTAACACCTCCTCCTGTGTTTATGTGGTGAGTCCAGTTGAGTTTCTGGTCAATGGTAACCCCCAGGATGTTGATAGCGGGGGATTCAGTGATGGTTACACCATTGAATGTCAAGGGACGGTGGTTAGATTGTCTCTTATTGGTGATAGTCATAGCCTGTCATTTGTGTAGGGCAAATGTCACTTGCCACTTGTCAGCTCAAGCCTGGATATCATCCAGATCTTGTTGCATGTGAACATGGACTGCTTCGGTATCTGAGGAGTCACGAATGGTGCTGAACATTGTGCAATCATTGGTGAACATCCCCACTCCGACCTGATGATGGAGGGAAGATCATTGATGATGCAGCTGAAGATGGTTGGGCCTAGGACACTACCCTGAGGAACTCCTGCAGAGTTGTCCTGGAGCTGAGATGATTGACCTCCCACAACCACAACCATTTTCCTATGTGTCAGGTACGACTCCAACCACCGGAGAGTTTGCCCCCTGATACCCATTGATTCCAGTTTTGCTAGGGCTCCTTGATGCCACACTGGGTCAAATGCAGCCTTGATATCAAGGGCTGTCACTCCCACCTCACCTCTGGAATTCAGCTCTTTTGTCCATGTTTGAACCAAGGATGTAATGAGATCAGGAGCGGAGTGGCCCTGGTGGAACCCAAACTGGGCGTCACTGAGCAGGTTATTTCTGTGCAGGTGCTGCTTGATAGCACTGTTGATGACACATTCCATCATTTTACTGATGATCGAGAGTAGGCTGATGGGGGGGTGATTGATCGGATTGGATTTGTCCTGCTTTTTATGTACAGGACATACTTGGGCAATTTTCCACATTGTCGGGTAGATACCAGTGTTGTAACTGTACTGGAACAGTTTGGCTAGGGAGCAGCAAGTTCTGGAGTACAAGTCTTCAGTACTATTGCCGGAATGTTGTCAGGGCCGGTAGCCTTTGCAGTATCCAGTGTCTCCAATCGTTTCTTGATATCAAGAGGAGTGAACCGAATTGGCTGAAGACTGGTATCTGTAATGGTGAGGACCACTGGAGGAGGCCGAGATGGATCATGCACTCGGCACTTCTGGCTGAAGATTGCTGCGAATGCTTCAGCCTTATCTTTTGCACTGATATCCTGGGCTCTTCCATCATTGAGGATGGGGATATTTGTGGAGCCTCCTCCTCCAGTGAGTTGTTTAATTCTCCCCCACCATTCACCACTGGATGTGGCAGGACTGCACAGCTTAGATCTGATCCGTTGGTTGTGGGATTGCTTAGCTCTGTCTATCACTTGCTGCTTTCGCTGTTTTGCATGCCAAGTAGTCCTGTTTGGTGGTTTCACCAGGTTGATACCTCATCTTCAGGTATGCCCGGTGCTGCTCCTGCAATGCCCTCCTGCACTGTTCATTGAACCAGGGTTGATCCCCTGGCTTGATGGTCAGGTTGAGTGGAGGATATGCCGGGCCATGAGGTTACAGATTGTGTTGGAGTACAATTCTGTTGCTGTTGATGGCCCACAGCGTCTCATGGATGCCCAGTCTTGGGAATAATGGGAAATATGGAAATAGCAGATCATACAAGCAGATAGTTTACATCTATCCTTATTGGAAAGGGCACAAATAATTGTGGATCTGGAGGTGAACACAGGGGAGAACTGAAAACAAATTAGGTTCATCTGGAAAAAAAGTTCTGAGAAATTTATTAGGACTAAGAAGGTCGCAATGGACTTCATCCTAGGGTCTTAACAGCTGCTGTTACTGAAAAATGATATGCAATTGTTCTAATTTTCCAAAGTTCTCTCGATCCTGGCTAGGGCACATCAGACTGGAAAAAAGCCAGTGACTCCTTTATTCAAAGGGTGGAGCAGAAAGCAGGAAAGTACAGGCTAAACTATCTTAACATCTGTCAAATATGCTAGAATATTTAAGGATGATATTGCAGCTCATTAGACAATCTCAATGCAACTAAGCAGAATGGATGTGACTTTGTGAAAGGCAAATCATATTTGACTAACTTATCGGATGTTTTTTGAGAAACTAAGTAGCAATGCGGAAAAGCAGAACCTGTGGACATGCTGCACTTACTCCAAAAGGCATCTGACAAGATGCCAAATCACAGGATTACTGCATAAAAAAAAGCTTATGGTATTGTGGCAACACAACAATGTAGTCAGAAGTTTGGTTAGTCAACAGGAAGCAGAAAGCAGAGATATATGGATCATTTTCACACTGCAAGATATGACGAGTGGAGTGACAAAGAGATTGGTCCTGAGGTCTCAACTATGCACTAGTTATTTAATTAATTAGGATAAAGGAACCAAGCATATGACTGTAAAACTAGCTGATCGTACAATGACTGATATGAATGTAAGTTGTGAAGAGAACATAAGGAGTCAGCAAAAGGTTAAATGAGTAGACAGAAAATCCACAATAATGTATAATATAGCAAAATATGAACTTGTACACTAACGCAGGAATAGAAAAGCAGCATATTATTTAAGTGCAGAAACTGCAGAATGCTGAGGTACAAAGGGAACTGGATGATCTGTGAAATGAATCACAAAGTTAGTACAGCTGATAGGTGCAAAAAGTGATTAGGAAGGCTAACAGAACATTGTCATTTATTGAAGGGAGAATGGAATATAAAAGTAGGGATGTTTCTCTACAATTGTATAGAACGTCAGAGAAGCCACAACTGGAGTACTGTCCAAGTCTCTTTATTTAAGGCAAGATTTTTAAAAATGTATTCATACGGTGAGGGTGTCATTAACTAGGCCAGCCATTATTGCTGCTGCCTTATTGCCCTTGAGAAGGAAGCGGTGAGCTGTCATCTTGAACCTCTGCAGGCCATGGTGATTATGCACATTCAGTGCTGTTCCACACATGGCAAATGGTGTGCTGATGCAGATCGCAGTATTGACTCCCAGTTCCAGATGTCGCTGCCACGCACAGACCTCAGAGGTCCACAAAAAGATTTTCAGAGAGAATTCTGATTCCCCAGTTCCAGTGATACAAGGTGGGAAGGTCATCATGAAGAACCTGAAGATGGTTTGGCTAAGGATGTTTCCCCCGGATGTCCTATGACAGAGATGATTGATCTCCAACAACCAAAACCACTTCTGCCACATTCAATCCAACCCCACCAAAGAGATATTTCCCTCTCTACCCCTATCTGCCTTTCGTAGTCACTCCGCGACTCCCTCGTTTGCTCCACACTCCCCAATAAACCCACCACACCCGGCATCATTCCCTGCAACCACAGGTGGTGCTACACCTGCCCCTGCACCTCCATCCAAGACCCAAAACAAACTTTCCACATCAGACAGGGGTTCACCTGTACATTCTCCAACCTGGTTTACTCTATCCGTTGCTCTCAATGAGGCCTCCTGTACATCGGTGAGACCAAGTGCAGACTCAGGTACCAATTCGTGGAGCATCTGTGCTCTGTATGCAATAATCAACACTTCTGGTTGCAAAACATTTTAACTATCCCCGCCAATCCCTTGATGACAGGTCCATCCTGGGCCTCCTCCAGTGTCACAATGACACCACTTGCAAACTGGAAGAACAACACTCATATTCCACCTCGGGAGCCTACAGCTCGACGGCCTGAACATAGAATTCACCAGTTTTAAAATCTCCCCAGCCCCAGCCTCATCCCACATCCAACCCTCCCTCTCAACCCTGCTTCCTTGACCGGACACAACCTGTCCATTTTCTTCCCCATCTATCCAAATAAAAGATAGATTGGTCCCACTGACCAATCCCCACTACTCCCTACCTGCAAATACCTATCACCACCCCTCCTCCTTCTATTTATTTCCCAGCTCCCTTTGACCCTTCCCCAATCCTGAAGGATCCCGATCCGAAACGTCGACTTTCCTGTTACTCTGATGCTGCCTGTCCTGCTGTCTTCCTCCAGCTCCACACTGTGTTGACTCTAACTCCAGCATGTGCAGTCCTTGCTATCTCTAACCAAAACCATCTTCCTCTTTGATAGGCATGATGCCAACCAGTGGAGGATTTCCCCATGATTCTCAGTGACTCCAGCTTTGCTGGCACCCTTTTATTCCATTCTGAATCAAACATTACCTTGATTCTCTCACTGCCCCTCCGGAATTCAGGTCCTTTATCCATATGTGGACAAACGATGTAATGCATTTAGATGCTCAGCAGCCATGTCAGTGAGCAGATTCACCATGCTGATGGTTGAGAAAAGACTGACACCACAATAATTGGTTGGTTTGAATTTGTGCGACTTCTTGAGGACTAACATACTTGGGCAATTCCCAAATTACTGAGTTGATGTTAGTGCTGTAGCTGTGCTGGAACAGGTTGACTAGAGGCATGAGTAGTTATGGAGCACAGGTCTTCGGTACTATTGCCAAAACACTTTCACAGCCATTTGTTCACAATATACCAGGTGTGACCTAACTAGAGCCTTGTATGCTAAGACTGTATAAAACACCTGCTAGATCACTACTCAAAGACTGGGAACAATTTGGTTCCCTTATCTAAGGAAAGACATCCTGGTTGATGGCAGTCCAGATATTAGGGATTTTACAAGGAGAGGTTGAATAGTTGGGCTTGTACTCAATGGAATTTAGAAGAATAAGAGGCGAACTTATTGAAACATTCAAGATTCTTAGTGGCCTTCAGAGGGTAGATGCAGAGGCATTTTTCTCGATATTGGTGAGTCTAAGACCAGAAGGTATAATCTCAGAGTAAGGAGCTACCTAGTTAAGACAGAAATGAGGAAGAAATTCTTCTCTCAGAATTCTGTGGAACATGTGGAATTCTTTACCACAGAAGTCTGTCAAGGCTAAGTCATTAAGTACAATCAAAGCTGAGATGGACAGATTTTTAATCAGCAAAAGAATCAAGGGTTATGCGAAAAAGGCAGGAAAGTGGAGTTTTAAAAATGTCAGATCATCCATAATCTCAGTGAATGGCAGAGTAGACTTGATGGGCTAGATAGTCTTCTTGCAACTCCTACATTTTTGATCTTATGGAGGTTTCAGATGCTCATTAAAACCTTTAATACATCCCAGTCTCCCTCTCTCTCAAGGAGAACACGTTTGAGTTTCTCAACACATCTGATCTTTATAGTTTACCTGATGGTTATAATTTCAATTTCAAGATCATCTTCTAATATATCTTTGACAAGGAGCCCAAAACTGTTCATAGTATTCCAGCTGTCATCTAACAAGTGCCCTCTATATTTTAGCGAAACTTCTTTTTTATACTCTAATCCCTTTGAAACGAAGAACACAGTCCATTTGCCTTTCCAATTACCTGAACTCATATGTTAGCTTTTTGTGATTTACATGAGGACTCTGAAATTCGTCTGTGCCATAGTTTTCCAGCCTTTACTTATTTAAATATTCAGTTCCGCTATTCTTCGTGCTAAAGTGCATAACCTTATGTTTTCCCACATTATATTCTGTCAAGTTTATTGAAAATTCACTTAACCTGTCTGTATCCCACCTCAGCATCATCCTCAACACTTGCCTTCCCACCTATTTTGGTGATATTTGCAAACTTGGCTATTATACATTCACTTCCTTGTCAAAATCTTCATAAACATTGTAAACTCAAAGCACTTTCTAGCCAATTAAGTAGTTCAGAAGTATCCTCATTGTAATGTAAAAGCATGACAACCAATTCTGCAATATAGTGAGCTCCTACAAACAGCAATGGGGTAAAGGCCAAATAATGTTTTCCATGTCCTAACGGAGGGCTAGATATTGTTCAGATCACCAGGGGATAACTTTCACTGATCATCTTTGAAATAGTGGTCATGTCCGAAGAACACAAACGAGATCTTGGTCGACCCACTCTTCTGAAAGATGGGCACAGTACACTGTCAGTAATGGCACTGGAGAACCAGTCTAGATTCTCACGCTCAAGTCTCTAAAGTAGGTCCTGAAAGCAAGTGACCTAGCTCAAACACGAAACCAATGCTGAGAATCTATTGCATTCTTCAGTGCCACAACAGCAGTAGACTTTGCATCACTGGTCATGGAAGTCATTCATCCAATTATCTCCTGCCCAATGTTGGAGGCAGATTGGGAGGATATAATGACACTCGGACTGTAATATTGGTGAACAACTCTCCACAGAGAATGGGAACGTCCCTCTCGTTCTCTCTTCCTCCCCTCCACTATAGGCTTCCCCAGAATGGTGCAGGTGTGCCATGGGTTGACTCAAGGACTATGGGCGCCCATTCAGTGGGACTGGGGAAGGAGTTCAGTGTAACACCCTTGCATTTACATTGGTCCATCACCTCATTTCTTCCCCGCACTTCAAATCAAAAAAAGTGTTCGTTTATCTTTAAAAAAAGGAAGACGTAGGCATCAAACGACGTTTTTCAGATGAGTTACTTTATCCGCTTAATTCCCCCTCACCTTGATGATGTCGCACTCGGTCAGTTTGCCGTACTTCTCGAATAACTCCTTAATCTCTTCTTTCGTTGCAATGCGCGGCAGATTCCCGATAAATATTTTTACCATTTTTTTTTGTTCTCTCAATCGAGAAGAAAAAGTCAGTCTAATGAATGCCGAAAAAAGTTTTAATTAAAATTAAAGCCCCGTCCCGCCCACCCAACGGGTCCTCACAAGATGGCGGCTCCTGCGTACTTGGATTAACTCAAACGTCCCGCCCACTGGCGCTCTCTGATTGGCCCGTTCCTCTAATGTTCCGGTTCCGATGGGCCTTCCGGCTTGTCACTCACCCACCAGCCCCAACGCTAATTGGGTCATCTTCTCCTAGCGACAATCTCGATTGGCTAGCGACTCCTGTCACTTAATAGAGCCATCCCTTCTAGACAAGGAGTCTTGAAGGTTTGGAATTTGCATTGAGCTAGCACCTCTTCCAACCCATCCCTAAACGCCACAGAAACATTTCACAACCATTGAAAAAACAATTTTTAATAAATTTTAAATGAGCTTTTTTCTGAAGAAAGGTCCCGATCCGAAATGTCAGCTTTCCTGTTCCTTCAGCTCCACCCTTTGTTATCTCTTTTTAATAGTCACATTGTAAAATGCAGTATCTAATTTTCACACATCAAGTTCCCTATAACGGCAACACTCCAATGACCCTGCTCATGTTCTGGCCAGGGCTAAAATATTAGCTCCGAGGTTCATTGGCGATCCAAAACGAAGGACCAAGTCGAACTCTTAGATACAGCTGGCAAATATGGGGTATGAGATACAGCTCATCAGCCACGTTAGCGGCTAAATCAAAAGAAAAACAAACAAAAACAGATGCTGCTAGAAAAACTCAGCAGGTCGGGCAGCATCTATGAAGAGAAAGCAGAGTTAATGTTTCAAGTCTGGTGACCCTTCCTCAAAGTAAAACAGAAATTACTGGAAAAACTTGGCAGGTCTGGCAGTATCTGTGGAAAGAAAGCAGCGTTAACATTTTGGGTCCAGTGACCCTTCTTCAGAACAGTTCTGCAATTTCTGTTTTTGTTTCTGATTTCCAGCATCTGCAATTCTTTGAGTTCTGTGGGAAATAGCAAAACCCATGACCAGTGACACAGAATTTCCTAGGTGGGTAGTCATCAGTGAATGATTGCTGATGATAACTGACTCAGGAGAGCAGTGAGAACTCCACTTCCCACACTTACTCAAAATATTGCCAGTCCAAAATATCACACTTATGACTGAAATAATTCCAGAGAGGGTGGTATCCCATGACCAAGTCACTCTTTATTTACAGCTGGAGTCCTTGACACTGATCCAGGTCACTCCTGTTCGTATCGGTCAGCCAGGGCTCCCTGACTGGGGCTGTTGAACTGATCCAATCAGGGAACCCATATTCTATAAATGTCCAACAGACTGACCTCGTTACAATCACTACATCCCTTCTCCTCCAAGTCCTGGTGCTATTTTTTTGTAGCTTGTCCTGGGGAGACAGGGAGAACTCTCAGGTTCCAGAACAGTAGGAAAGGCTGTCGAGGAGCACAGCACGTTTTGCTCTCACACTGCAAGCTTGCAGCTTTTATATGGTCCACATGCTTGTTCAGGACTGTCGCACCTATTCAAACTTTATAAGTCACTGGACCGGATCTCACGTCGACCATGCCCCTTACCCATGTAGGGACATTCCCGTGGTTCCTCCACGAAACTTCATCCCCTGAAGTAAACTGTCTCTTTTGCTTAGTGGAGTCTTGTGTCCAGCAACGGTGTTGCTGACGCCATTTCAGTCTCCCTCCCACCAGGTCAGGGAAGATTAGATTTAACCTGGAGACATCCACACCATCAGAAATGCCAATGCCAGACAGAAGACTCTTCTGAGTGCGCGAGACAGTTTACTTCACAGGACACAAAGTTTGGTGTCGAAACCACAGGAATGGCCCTGCATGGGTAAAAGGCTTGGTCGACGCGAGGTCAGGTCCCATGACACACAAAGTTCGAGGAGGTGAAATGGTCCTGAACGAGCACGTGGACCAAATGAAAGCAGCAAGCTCACAAAACGGGGGAGAAGCAAAACATACCCGGCCCCTCAGAACATCTAGCGAGGCTGTCAGACCCGTGGGTTCACCCTCTCCGCCTAGCAATGAAGGAGCAAGAAGGACATGGCAGATATCACAGCCTCAATGCCATTACAACTTGAAGTTGAGGAGTTTTGGCCAAGATGCTCCGGGAGGAAGAGGCAGGTTGTGGTCCGGTACACGTCGCCAGTATCCAAGGCAGAGTCGAAGTTAACAGACCTGGTGTAAAGATGCCCCAGGAGAACCTATAGGGAAAAGAACAGGTCTACGTCCCAGGACTCAGATGGGGAGGGATGTAGTGATTGGGGTGATGTCAGCCAGGTGGATTGCATAGATTATGAATTCCCTGATTGGGCCAGATTAATAGTCCCAGTCAGGAAGTCCTAGCTGACTGATATAAACAGGAGTGTCAGAGGTTTTGCTCACTCTAGAAGCCAGCTTGATATAGATGGGTCACTGTCATGTACTGTGCACATGTAAACAAAGGGGCACTTGGTGACAGGATACTGCAGCTCATGGAGATATTTCAGTAGTATTCAAAAACACTGCAAAATAGAGAGCAAATTGCACCCAAAGATTTTGCAATTTGAAGCACAGTCAGAAAAGGTTGGATAACCCACCACATATTCTGCAGGAATGAGGTCATCACAAGAAAGTTCACTTTTCATCAAAGCCTCTGTCACATATCTAGTGCGGCTTTAATCAGGAAAACATCACACACACCATTTCATACTTTCCACTGTACCATTACACAGTTTTATTTCTTTCAGTGTCATTAGTCATTTGATTGTCCACATGAAAGTAACCTTAGCAGCTGAAAGCAGTGTGAAGAACGCGAGGATTACAGCTTATATGGTTCATATTGAACCTCTGATGTGAGGACACCTTTATACTGATTGAAGAACTCTGAGCAGCTGGACATGAGAAAGATTTCTACACATAGATGATGAAACACAAGGTCGTAAGCAAATGCACTTCTGGAAAAACAGAAACCACAGCTGACAGTCATCAGGGCTCAAGATGATTGCTCCTGTTTTAGTTGACATTGGAATCAATTCCACTGGCAAGAAAAAATTTGGAAAGATAATGATGTTCAAACCTCAGAGCCTGAAGGGTCACATGAGAAACAGAGACTATCATGGAATTCCAGATATTGCTACAAGGCTGCCATAATCAGGGTATTTTACCTGGCTAAGCTCAAGCTTCACATCAATATCCCAATTCATGGTAGCTCCCATGCAATCAACTGACCAGATGGAGACTCCAACCAGGCTACACCAGCTCGAACCCTCCACAATGAGTAGTTTCAGTGCAGGGCCAAGTACCACGGATCTTGAGGTTATCCAGCTACCCAATGGATATCAGTACTGCTAAGTAGTGAAGAGGTCATTCCCAAAATACCAAACCTTCAGGAATACACAGTCCCATCCCCAGAGTTGAAATAAAATGGATGCTTTCATGCTAATCATCCCTGGATTAAGACAAGGTGCCAGGACAGTCACTGGTATAGATTGTAAGACACAGCAATGGTAGACTGCTTGAATGCCAGAAAAGAACCTATAGTGTTAAAACATGTGGGATTTCTTGTTTGTCCACTAATTGAATGAAACAACAATTAGAATCCAGTTCAACAAATCACACCAAATGAATGAAAACGTGTACCTCCAAGCGACTAAAAAAACGTTGAACTGAAAACATTTCAAATAAACTGTTCCAGTTCAGGAGGATGAAGTTTTCTTTTGTTAAATACAAAATATGCCTTCCAATGTTTTTCAGAATGCAGAATATTCTAGTTCCTGTGCAGGTAAAGCTGTTTAGTCTAATTCAACTTCAATTTACCATACCAAATTCCTGCTAACAGGGCTAGTAGTTATCTGTTACAGCGACAGATATTTATCTCCAAAAGCATTTTAGTGTTTGAGACAATTCTTTACAGTTTATTCACCATCTTTCATTCAATTTATTCTCTGAGAAGTTGTAAATTACTAACTATTGTTTACTAAGGTTGTGCAGGAATAGCAAGACAGCAAAACTGCTCGAGATTTTACTGACTCCTCTAATCTGGATATGAAAGCCTGTTACATTTCTGATAAACTAACTGTAACAAGAAGACCCAACTCAGCACTGTCTGCATGGAATCATAACACACTGTCACATCTCTCAGTGGATACAAGGCAACAAATAAACTCTTATGAGAGCGTTGCTCATATAAAACAGGAACACAAACAGAAAGTGGAAACATATAAAAATAAATTCAATATCTTCATCCGGAAGTATAAAGTGTATCATGATGTTTGCAACCACAGCAGATCATGATTAGTTTGTGCACTTTACAACTGTAATACAAGATCTGTAGTCATGTTCTGTACAAAACTGAAGTATTGAGGGGTAACATATCCTTTAGTGCATCAGAATTGAGTAACTGAACCAAAATGGAAGCATTATTACAGAACAAAATAGCCCTAGAAAATAATACTTTCATCCATGTTAAAAAGTCTGAAAATGACAACATTGAAACAGAGATACAGTATTTATTTAAATCAGGAATATAAAAAAAATTGTCCATCACATTTATCAAAATCCCGATTAAAACATCAATAAATCAAACCATTCATGTGGATCCCTACACCAATTGCATAAACTAGGTACACAATGCAGACAGTTGGGAAGATTTCCTTCTTTCTGAAAGCTCAAATGCTCAATATTCCTTTTTGTGGCTACATCTCTCACTGTGAAAATTAATCCTGATCTTATTGTGCACAAGATCAAAAGGATGAATTTATCATTTAAATGAGCAGACAAGCATTGATGTAAAAGGAGGATTTTTGTCTTGTAATCAAAGACAGAACTGCAAGGACATTAAATTGTAAGAGGAACAACAATTTACATATTGTGAGACAAAAAGGTGTACTTTGGCTGACAAGTGGACATTAATTGGTATAAAAGTGTTGCTATGGAGAATGTACCAGGAGCAGCTATCCCCAAGTCTTTGTTTAAATTCAAACCAGGCAAGTCAACCCCGAATCCACATGCCAACCAAATCATCAACTTTCTCTCATGTGGCACAAATTATCGCTCCCATTGCAATTTGGTACTCATGTGATTCTGTCCTGATGAGTGCAAAATAAA